TTTTAACTTTTGCAACATAATTAAATATTCCTATTGCTTTATAAAATCACTCAGGTCACCCACATTTGAACATCACATTATACACATTTCTTAGATGGTCAAAAATTAACAAATGACCTGTATTTCACAGGTACAGGAGAGGGGAGAGGGGGAGCAATCTGGAAACTCCCTCTCGCTCGTGTCTCTGTTTTATACAAACACACAGCACAGAGGGGTCATACACACAAATGCAGTCACTAACTGCAGCAGAAACTTACTCACAAATATAAGTAGCAAAAAAATATTTTACAAATCAGCTGTACTTAGCTTTACCTTTCTATCTTAATTCAGGTAACATTGTCACATTTACCATAGACAAAACAACATGCATCCATCATGTCTTCATACAAGTACCATGTCCTTAACATTAGCTAGTTACAAACAAAACACGTTTAGATTCGGACATACACACATCTCTTACGTTACTGCAGTACTCACAATCTGAGCATCAGCTCATCGTTTTCATACCTTAAAAAGCTAATAGCTCTGAAATTGCCTACAGAGTCCAACACTTTTACTATCACAAATTGAAGCTTCCTGACAATAGAACCATTCCCTTGTATATCAGTCTCTCGCCCAACAAATCAAACTAAAACAATTCTTTCACCGATTGGTAAGAAACGTGAGTGCAATGGGATTCCACCCAACACAGGAATGGGCTTGCACGTGATAACCTACAGGCATCTCAATAAAGCCAGCTAAGTATTTTCTACGCTTTCTGAATGTACTATGGCATATAATAACATTAAACCCAGCACAGACAATCTAGCACAATTCTGCATCATTATTTGTATATTTATACTATTTGTTCACACAGATCAAACCCCACTTCTGGTACCATGTGTTTTGTTACGGTTTTGGGTTTGTATTCAATATGTGCATAGAGAGATCACACAAATACTTACAAGCATAACATTTATAAGTAATGACAGATACAGATAAAGAAAATATAACAATACTTAACTAAAAAGATGCTGTTTCTGCCGCGGAGTCCCCCCATTTTCACACAACATGACACACAAGTGACCACAGACGCATGCTTGATTGCAAGCACTGAAGATGAGACTATATGTTTCAAGCTGCAACTGTAGTATATAGACAATGGACAGCGCCCAGCCAACTCCCCTCATAAGCAACAATAGCATGACCTTTAAGGACTTCGCCAGCTTATAATCACACATTCCTGAAAAGAGATTAGTGGACTGGCTTGTCTATATGGTCAATGTGCAATGCAATTCCTATGGCCTGAAGTCATTTAATGTTATTAGATATTTGTGAGGCCAGCATTTAATAAGGTAATATGTAATTTCCCCATCGATTACTTTTAACACGATCTATGAAAACATGTATTTTGATCCTTTTTCAACTTCATCCTCCTGCTTACTGTGCTTTGCTTCCACAAACCTTTGGTTGGGGAGTGTACCCTCCTAATATCACAAGTCACAACTTCGGACTGCATGTCCCATCATTCCTTGCACCAGCATGCATTTCCGACATGCTGACATGCGCAGGCAGCCCGAGAGTACTACACACATGATTGAAGGTGTCTTCCAAGGCAGTGCTGTCAATCACTTCCCTCGGAAGTGAGTATTCTGTGTTGTCCTCTCGGGCTGCCTTTTGTTGGGTAGTTTCCTTATGTCTGCATGCAGTCCTCTCCCAGGAGCTTGGACAAACGGGTAGCTCCAAAGAACCAAGCAAGGTAGTAGAGCAAATCTCAAACAGAAAAGTGGGGGGCTGCGATCATGGGAGCAGACTAAACTTTAACAAGTGGACAAGCAGATGAGATTTTGTAAAATTTACCTAAAAGTCACTTGTTTGAGCTGTCATATTTTATGACTGTATTTCATATAATAGTTTGAAGGTTCTTCCTCTTATGGTCTTCTGTATATCCAGCTGCCCAATTACCATCCTTGTGAAGTACTGCTAAGAAATTTGGCCATTCATTTCTTTACTGGTTTTACCTGTTTGACACTCTAGGGTTGATTTACTAAAACTGGAGAGTGCAAAATCTAGTGCAGCTGTGCATGGTAGCCAATCAGCTTTTTACTTCACCTTGTTCAGTTAAGCTGACCAAAAAACCTGGAAGCTGATTGGTTCATATGCAGAGCTACACCAGATTTTGCACTCTCCAGTTTTAGTAAATCAACCCCCATGTGACAGTTTAACGTTAGCAGCCTTGCACAGTGTTGACTAACTAGCTGTCAACGGAGGAGCATATATTAAAGCAACCTTGTTATCTTGAGTTGAAAATGATAAACCACGCTGCCTAAAGAAAAGCCATTTAAAACGTATGCTTCTCACTTTCCTTGCTATCATTCTCCTCTGTTTTTAAAAGATACCAATGGCTTGAAGATTCTTCAGTATCTGGCACGCTTATGGGTGTATTGGATGCCTGCCCCCCCCCCCCCCCTGCAGTTCATTCCTCTGGTTCCTGCATCACTACTGTGTCCTGTGGAGGTTGGCTGAAGGAACCACAGAGTGCAGCGGGAACACCAGCATCTTACACTCCTGGACATGTTGGCTGTTGAAGGGTTTTCAGCCAGTGGTATCTCCTGAATGCAGAGGAGAACAGAGAGGTTCTATCAGGCAGCATGGTTAGTATGGTTTTCACTTTTAAGTTCAGGTTGCTTTAATGTTTGCTCAGGACAGAGCCTAATGCAGGGTTAGCATTAATCTATAGATTGCAGTAGGAAGTTGCTTTGTACTTAACCATCTATATTTCTTCTTTCATCTTTGACTTTATCTGCATTTTTCTTCTGTGACATACAGTGGGGATCGAACGTTTGGGCACCCCAGCTAAAAATTTGTATTAATGTGCATAAAGAAGCCAAGGAAAGATGGAAAAATCTCCAAAAGGCATCAAATTACAGATTAGACATTCTTATAATATGTCAACAAAAGTTAGATTTTATTTCCATCATTTACACTTTCAAAATAACAGAAAACAAAAAAATGTCGTCTGCAAAAGTTTGGGCACCCTGCAGAATTTATAGCATGCACTGCCCCCTTTGCCAAGCTGAGACCTGCCAGTGTCATGGATTGTTCTCAATCATCGTCTGGGAAGACCAGGTGATGTCAATCTCAAAGGTTTTAAATGCCCAGACTCATCTGACCTTGCCCCAACAATCAGCACCATGGGTTCTTCTAATCAGTTGTCTAGAAAACTGAAACTGAAAATAGTTGACGCTCACAAAGCTGGAGAAGGCTATAAGAAGATAGCAAAGCGTTTTCAGATGTCAATATCCTCTGTTCGGAATGTAATTAAGAAATGGCAGTCATCAGGAACAGTGGAAGTTAAAGCAAGATCTGGAAGACCAAGAAAAATATCAGACAGAACAGCTCGCAGGATTGTGAGAAAAACAATTCAAAACCCACGTTTGACTGCACGATCCCTCCAGAAAGATCTGGCAGACACTGGAGTTGTGGTACACTATTCCACTATAAAGAGATACTTGTACAAATATGGTCTTCATGGAAGAGTCATCAGAAGAAAACCTCTTCTACGTCCTCACCACAAAAATCATTGTTTGAACTTTGCAAATGAATATTTAGACAAGCCTGATGCATCTTGGAAACAAGTTCTGTGGACCGATGAGGTTAAAATTGAACTTTTTGGCCGGAATGAGCAAAGGTACGTTTGGAGAAGGGGCACAGAATTTAATGAAAAGAACCTCTGTCCAACTGTTAAGCATGGGGTTGGATCAATCATGCTTTGAGGTTGTGTTGCAGCCAGTGGCATAGGGAACATCTCACGAGTAGAAGGAAAAATGGATTCAATAAAATTTCAGCAAATTTTGGATGGTAACTTGATGCCATCTGTGAAAAAGCTGAAGTTAAAGAGAGGATGGCTTCTACAAATGGATAATGATCCTAAACACACCTCGAAATCCACAGGGGATTACATCAAGAGGCGTAAACTGAAGGTTTTTTGCCATGGCCTTCACAATCTCCTGACCTCAACATAATTGAAAATCTATGGATAGACCTTAAAAGAGCAGTGCGTGACAGAAATCTCAAAGAACTGGAAGACTTTTGTAAGGAAGAATGGGCAAAGATACCTCAAACAAGAATTGAAAGACTCTTGGCTGGCTACAAAAAGCGTTTACAAGCTGTGATACTTGCCAAAGGGGGCAGTACAAAATATTAACTCTTTTGCAGACGCCATTTTTTTGTTTTCGGTTATTTTGAAAGTGTAAATGATGGAAATAAAATCTAACTTTTGTTGACATATTATAAGAATGTCTAATCTGTAATTTGATGCCTTTTGGAGATTTTTCCATCTTTCCTTGGCTTCTTTATGCACATTAATACAAATTTTTAGCTGGGGTGCCCAAACTTTCGATCCCCACTGTAAATCCTAAAATTGAACTGATGGCTATAAATATGGAATACTTTAGAATGTATTCTCTATTCCATTTAGAAAACCATAATCTTTAACTAATGAACAAGATCTTCATCTGCTGTTACCATCTTTCCTTTGGATTTTTCTGCTACTAGTCTCTGGGAAGGAGAGACTAACTGCATGGTGTTTCCTTATCGCCAAATCCTGTAGCTGCTCCTATAGACTGCAGCTGCAAGCCTTGTATGTACTGCCTCATATGTGCATTGTATATAGAAGACAGGTAACTGACTCATCTCTTGATATGTGTGGCAGGGGTTCTCCCCAGATACCAAAAGCACAATGCTTCTGGATCAAACTGTCTATTTCGGTTTCCCTATACTTTCAGTTCTATTCACATCACCAATTTCACACGTTTTTCCTCAGTAGAAAAATGCTAAAATCAGATAAAGGTAAACATTTAAAAAAAAATTACCCAGGTTAACTGAAAGAAAATAAAGCCTTGTGCCATTTTTTTTCCTTTAATAGTTCAGTGGAAAAAGGAAACCACCTATACTCCCAGGACACTTACAATGCTTTACCATTGTCTTTTTTGCTTTTTGCTCCTTTCTTTTCGAATAAGGTGGAAGATTCAATGAAGATAGCGGAGGCCCTTCTGTCTGACTTGTCTGGATTTCAGTCCTTCCATAAAAAAGCTTCAGAGCTGCTGGAGCAGTTCAAAGAATATGAACAAGAACAATTTAACGACTGGTCGAGGGAAATTCAGGCTGGGTTATCCGACATTAAATCAGGATTCTGGTCAGTATTCCTCTTGAAAGTCTTTTTTTTTTCTGAGAACAGTGACTGAATGACTGTGCCATGGTGCCAAGCCATGAATTTTAGGGGAGAAGTCACAAGTGCAAAGTCTGCAGAGCAATCTGGATTATTAAATGCGAAGCTAATTTTAGTTTTCTTTTATACTGTTAGTTCTTTTTAAATAAAGGGTAATAAATAAAACCTATAAATGAAAGATTTCCTTTTCAAAATAAAATTTTTTCTTTGTAAAATTAAAAAATGCTTTTGCTGCAGTGCTCACCTTTAGTCCAGAGATGGCCCTCAAAGTACCTCATCTCTAGCACAAAATGTCGGCAGTCTTTTAGTTTGAATGATGGCCGATGCCATTTTGCTCACTTTCTGTGATTTCAGGCTGTCATGGATCTGCCCTTTACGAGGCATAATCACGCAGCCTGGTCTAGCAGTACTCCTGTACTGAGTAGCACTGACACGTCATGAAATACCATACCAACTGATAAAAGTACAGCTATATCCAGGAAGAAGGACAACACTTATCCTCAGAAGATAAGGAGTAAGGACTCTTGACAGCACCAAACTAGTCTGGAGAATGCAGGAAATATGTATAGTGTATCTGTAAAAACTGTTGTAAAGAGCGCATGGAAGAGGGGGGTGGCGGAAAATGTTTGAGTTCCATTTTAGAGCTTGTGTACACGTGAGGCTGTGGAATAAAACTCAGTGGTGGAGCCACGATTTTAAACCCCCCCCCCCCCAATTGCTACTCCCTTTAGCTGCAGAGGCAGTGGCCAGGGGTGTACACTTGTCACAGCCGCAATGTTTTACTTTGCGAGCACAGCAGCAATTATACCCCCTGTTGCTTTCTGCAGGCATAACTGGATGTGAACGTGGATCACTCCTCAGGGAGCACTGAAAATGTGAACCAGCCCTTTAAGAGAAAAAGCAACTAGAGGAGGCATTGAAACAAAAGATGGTGACATGAGTAACCGTGAACTGCACTTCAGATGAGGAATAGTAATCAGTCTGTGCTTTCCAGATAGCGTCCAGTATGTTTTTATCAGTAAAGACATACATTTTCCCATAAAATGTGATATTCCTTGTCCTATATGATTGTACAAATTAGAATAACCTTTCAATAGAATTTTTATAGTGGTCAATGGGACTAATATACACTTTACTGTATGACCAGAAGTGGACTTCCCTCCAAATTATTGCCATCCAGAGTTTCCAGAGAAGGATACTGTTAATACTTCAATATACAAAGATGTTTGAGACAATGGGGTGCTTCCATCCTTGTGAGTTCATGTAGATGTGATGATCAGACGTCCACAAACATTTGGCAGTATAGTGTATAGAACAGCCTTCCTTAACCACTTTTTTCCCAAAAGAACTCTTGAAATAATTTTCAGATTCCAGGTAATCCCTGCTAGAATTAATTTGTTGGGGGTTATTTGGAAACATGCCACATTACATTGCTGGTCAGTAGAAAGAATTCCCCATATGATGGTGGGCAAGGGGAGAATGCGCACCTTACCATGGTGGTCAGAGGGAAGAATGCCCCTTACATTTGTAGCAGTGGATAGAATGCTTCCTTTACAATGGTGGTAAGTGGAAGTATACTCATTATATTGGTGGTCAGTGGGAAGAATGCCTACCTTATATTTGTGATAGTAGGAAGATTCCCCCCCAACCTTCGTATATCGGTGGTCAATGGGAAGACTTCCTTACAATAGTGGTCAGAATTACACCCTCACAGACTACCAGGCGCCATCAGATGGGAGGTAAATCGGCCACAGCTCAAGAAACCCCAAGCCCCCTCTGGACGAGCCCTGGTTTTAAAATGGGTGGTGTAGAGGTTACTTTTCTAGTAGCCCCAGAACTTTACTTTCTCCTAAAAGAGCAACAAGTATCCACCCAATGCGTTTGCAATGACTTGATGTCCTGCAGTATCGAATAAAACATGGGAATGGGGAGTACTGATATCACTAGTGCCTTAACCAGAACTTGAACCAAGGACAGATTTAAAATGGGGTATACATTCCTAAATGGTTTTGTTTTCAGAGAAAGATGACTCTAGCAGTTAATGTGTAACATTGTTGTTTATATTTTTGTGCAGCATTCAGGCCAACAATCTGGTTATGGAACTAGATCATGCTAATGGAGCATTGAAAATCCACTATTCTGACCGGCTTGTAACTCTGTTGCGGGAAGTTCGGCAGCTTTCAGCGCTCGGATTATTAATCCCAGCAAAGATCCAACAAGCAACCAAAACTGCCGAGAAGTTCTATAAACCAGCAATGATTCTTAAACAGGTATTGTAGTAATACCCTGCTGAGATATTGATGATATTGTATCTTTCTTTGGTCTTAGACTTAAAACCAGCAAACATACATGTGTTGGAGGCACCAAATATCTCCTGGAATATGTTTCAGTGTGTTACTGTAATGCTGAAATCCAGATATTGTCTACAGCAGGCATGTCCAAAGTCCGGCCCGCGGGCCATTTACGGCCCGGGGGTCGGTTTAATACGGCTCTCCAACAGCCCTCCCTGCTCTGTGTAATGTGGCCCTCCCACGGCCCTCCCTTCTATGGCAGACAGTCTTCTGCTTGAGAGCAGAGGGCAGTGCGCATGCCTGACTGCGGCGCGTTCTCCCTGGTCTGTGTAAATGCGGCTGTCGCACGGCCCTCCCTTCTGTGGCAGACAGTCTTCTGCTTGAGAGCAGTGTGCATACGTGACTGCGCCGTGCTGGGATCGACAGAGGGCGGTGACGTCAGGGCCGGGCTTTCAGCGTGAAGTGTGTTTCTCTTCCCCTCCCGGCTGCCGAGCAGAGACTTCAGCTCCAGCTACCTTTTTCACCCTTCACATTAGTGCAGGTAAGTTTTTTTTTAATTTATTTTCAATACATTGTGAAAACTCAGCTGTCAGTCGATCTTAATGTTATGAAATGAAAAGTATGTAGTTTGCAATTAACTTGGCATAAAATAATTTATTTGCATTTAATTGTAATGGTTCAAAGAATGTTCGGAAAAATGTTCGGCGGCTCCTCCACCATGTTCACTTCATCCAATCTGGCCCTCTTTGAAAAAAGTTTGGACACCCCTGGTCTACAGTATGTTCATGAGGCATGTTCAGTAATCCAGCATGATACAACTCCTGCAATATGCCTCTATGCAGCAGCTTCCTGTAATAAAGACCAGTCATTACTGCTGCTCTCCTTCTGCAGGGTGACTGGTCTTATTTCTGCCTTCTATAGTTTTCGGCAGGCAGCCTAACACTCTTTTAAAGTATTATTAGACCCACAACAGTAAAATCAGTCTGTATATGCAGTAAAGCATGCTTGTTATACTCACCGTGGAACCTAAGGGGTTAATCCTCTGCATTGTGTAAAAAGCTGTTTGATCCTTTCTTCTCTGTTCCTCCCCTTTTTCAAGTGACCACCTCTTATCCTGATAAAACAGACTGAACCGTAGGCATTTGCACATGCTCAGTTTAGTGTGTATTGTCAGCACAGGGCCAATCAGCACTGGTCAGATAGAAGTCAGAGGTTTTGCATCCTCCTAGAGCAGAAAGAAATCTCCTCCTTCAAGCTTTAGCTAGTGCTGGGCTGGACACAGAAGTCACAAGACTGCTATATACTTCTGATGAGAAAAGGTATTTAGCAGTGTATATTTACTAAAATAATTGCACTTCCATGTTCTGTGTACTGTGGGAGACCAGATATAGTGGATGCAGGGTCCTGGGTTTAGTAATACTTTAAAGTTGTGGGTGTTCTGCTCTCCTTGTTGTATTCCTCATCATATAAAACAAATGAAAATTCCTCCAGAAAGATTGGATATATTAGGAACTTGACTGGCAACTTGGCTGAGAGATTCTTCCACTGAAGAGTCAAAATAAACCTTTTACTGATTTTACTCTCCAGCATCTGTAACATTTCAAGTGAAAAGTCCTTTAGAATAAAACTAAAATGGCGTGAGGAAAATGTGTATTAAAATATTGTTTTACAGTGAATATAAAAAGTCTACACGCCCCTATTAAAATGTCAGGTTTCTGTGATGTAAAAAATTGAGACAAAGATAAATCATTTCAGAACTATTTCCACCTTTAATGTAACCTATAAACTGTACAACTCAGCTGAACAACAAACAAAACAAAGTATTAGTTTATGCAACCATATTATTTTAGTTTTTTATTTTTACTTCCCTCCACCTAAAAGATTTCAGTTTGTTGTTCAACTGTACAATTGTATATTTTAAGGGTGGAAAAAGTTCTGAAATTTTTTATCTTTGTGATTTTTTTACATCACAGAAACCTGACATTTTAACAGGGACATGTAGACTTTTTATATCCACTGTATATCTGTTTTTATACAGTGATTGTAGTCTTTGTTTTACAAAAAAAGGGGTTCCATTTATAAAGGATTCCACCATTCACTCTCCGTTATACACCACACTGCTTCATACCCCATGGCCCATATTTTAGGACCTATTCATAGTTCAATAGCAGTCTGCGAGGTGGACCCTGCAGAGAGAGCTCTGTGTTTTGGAGGAACAAATATGTAACTTTGACCGCTAACATGGCTGAGATCTCCTGCCATATTTTTTTAGAACACTTATTCAGTAATATTGCACTTTGATGGTTTTGGAATGGAAAATCTCCCTAATGAAATGTAAACTGGCAGAGGTTTTAAATCTTTACATTTGCTCAAAATAGTTAATTAAATATATATGAATAACCTCTGCGACTGAAGTATGTGCTTTATCTTTATGCTTGTTTGTGTAGGATGTATATCTGATATGAATGATGAATTCTGTTTTCTTTAGGTTGCTCATTTCTACAATACAATAGATCAGCAAATGATACAAAGTCAACGGCCCATGATGTTAAAGTCTGCACTGGCTTTTGAGCAGATAATAAAGGTAAGTGTGATTAGGACTAACAATAAAGAATATATACAGCATAGCTGTAAAGAAATGATAGCTTGGTATGCTGCAGTTTACTTCACTTTAATAGATGGGGTTGGGGGGATGGCAAGTAAAAAAAATATAATATTGCATATACAATTACTGCACAAGTCATATTGTAATTGAATGTTAATATAAATGACCTTTCCTTTTCAATCTGCAGCGCTGTAATTTTCTGTAAAATGCAATGCAATATGGCAACCTGGAGGTGTCCTGTACACATGGTATACAGACCGCCCCCTTGAAATTTCGTTTCCTGCTTGTGTGATTTGCTTTGCTGATTTTCTCAGAAGGCTGCACCAAGACTTTTTGGGCATCCTCTGCAAGAAAAATTTTATGTTTGGTGATATACTCCCAAATTGGAATCACATCTAAGGGGATTCAGACCCTGCCACTTTCCTCATTAGCTGATTGATAATTATAACATTTCTAAAGCTTTGGGACTCCAGCGAACCACGGTGAGAACCTTTATCCACAAATGGAGAAAACTTGGAACAGTGGTGAACCTTTCCAGGAGTGGCCAGTCTACCAAAATTACTCCAAGAGCACAAAGAGGACTCATCCAGGAGGTCATAAAAAAGCCCACAACAGCATCTAAAGAACTGTAGGCCTCACTTGCCTCAGTTATGCAAGGAAAAAAAAATCAGGCAATATATATACAGTGTATGTGTGTGTGTGTGTATGTATATATGTGTGTGTGTGTGTGTGTGTGTGTGTGTGTATATATATATATATATATATATATATATATATATATATAATATTTTACTTGATATCGAAGTTATTAAAATAATAAAGTGTAAAACAACATACTACTTGGTGGTCTACTAGCTGTTTTTCAACCCTCTGCTTGCTTAGCCCTCAGTTATCCACTGGTTCACTAATTCAGCTCAATCTCATGTCATCTCACACGTTATCATTTCATATATGACAACACAGTAGGACAGGATGAGCACATGGGCATTAGAGGGAAAGGCCTCAAGGCTGATTGTAATCACTGACAGTGGCTGTCTATATTCCAAGTTGAAAGTAGCCTCCTTCTCTTAAAGAAGAACTAAACCTATAATTACAAAAATGTGAGACATGCTATGTCTCTTCTGCAATAAGACACACTGCTTGCCATCCTCTTTTGAGTGTACACTGAACTGCGCATGCACAGCTCAGCGTGTATTCTTGGCACACTCCAGCAGCACTTGAATGGCTGACTCCCATGCGCATGCGCATTCAAGAGGCCAAAAACCCAGGACCTGGAAGTAGTCCATTGAGAATATGGTAGTGGCCAGGATGTAATTGCTACATCTCTGGAAGGTGGAGGTTAGTATTTTGCAAAGTGTATTATATCAGTGATGTAATACATGGATCTTACATGCAGACATACTGAAAATTCTCTGCAGTCTTCAAGTACAAAGCTCCAGCACTGTCCACCCCTCCCAACCTGTCTGCTGCCCATTCACAGAAGGCTTTGTATACTTTGAATGGGTTCACATAACACAAAGTGATTGGGCAGGAAGGGACAAAGCATCTGCAAGCAACTCTGCAGCTACAGGAGTGGTCCAGCATCAGAGCTTTGATAGTTTGTGAAAGCTTTACTTGCTGGAGCTCCATAAAACTGTCAGTTGTAAATAAACAAGATACGTCCAGGAGGTGATATGCACCTCCTTTGACTTAACTCATAATAGGTCATCATATATTACATAGTCGGTAAATTTGTGGAATGAAATGCACCAAAACTGATTGATTTCTGCAATATGTCTACTTGTCCTACAAGTCCGTGGACACATATTTTGTATGTATTTGTGTGTTGCTTCTCAACTATTCCTTCCAAGATTAGGTTATTTTATTAATGTTCATTTGTTCTGACAGAGTTCCAGAGTAAATTCTGGTGAAAAGGAAGAAAAGGCACGTATAACATGGGACAGTCCTAAAGAGCTGCAGAGTTATATTGAGAAGCTCCAGAGTGCAGCTGAGCAGCTATCCACTGAGAATAGGAAGCTCCGGAAGAAGCACTTTGACTTCTGTGAGAAGGTAAACTGTCAAATATGAATGGCAGGAAGAGGGAGGGAGCACAAACACCTCATCGGTACTTTGGTCCATGTAGTATTTGATAATGACTGTGGATGAATTTAAATCCAAGGGACCCTGTTGCTAAAATAAATATTCAAAATAAACTCTTCTCTGCAAAGATGAAAACAGTCGCCACTCCTGACATTTCTGAATTTCTTGTCCCTCACTGAGCGCTGTAAATTAATCTGCTGAACCCTATGTCACCTCTGTGTCCTGTATTGATATATGGGCTATAATATAAATACATTTTTTCTTAAAAATAAAGATTTTGCCATGGTCTGCCTTGTTTAAATCAATCAAAATGGTGGTTACTTTCATCATTACTTACTGACCTTCCAGGCTCCTGTGGAGGAGTGAATATAAAGGAAGTACTCTCCTTCTCAGTTTGTCTTGCCCACCTTTTGACCAAAAGATTGAGATGCTTAGGAGTTATGGCAGCATTCACCCGCTTTCTGCTCTACCTCAGCATTGCTGATAAGAAGAGCAGCATGTCTGTCTCTGGCATTACACACTTGGGTGATGCTGACAATGCCCGGTAAGCAAGCAAACAAAATTTTGCTGATGTTTGAGTTTCAACCAATGAGCTCCCCCTACCTTGTAGCTAATTGATTAAAATGTAAGGGGACCCCATTTTGGTTGTATTGACCATACTAAAAGATTTCTGAGTGTCCCTTTTTTGCAGGTTGCTGCTCTTATGAATGTTGATCTACTACGTCAACAACAGCGATGGAAGGATGGTCTTGTGGAAATGCGCAATGTCTTCTCCGATCTTGAATATCGGGTAATGCAAAAGTCGTCTTCATGTGAAAACTATAGCACCATGAATCATTAAACATAAGCGATACATTTTTTAAAGTGACCCTTTCATTAGAATTAAAAAAAAAAAAAAAAGCAAAAAAAACCTAAAAACGTTTAAACAGGCATACAAGCAAAAGAAGGCTGTGAATAATTGCCTTTCCCGCTGCCCATATCGACAGAATACTGCTCTGTTCATGAAAAAAAAAAAAAGGGCATGAGCAGCGCAGTGGCTAAATGGTTAGCACTTCCGCCTGGCAGCACTAGGGTTGTTGGTTCGAATCCCAACCACAGCACCACCTGCCTGGAGTTTGCATGTTCTCCCTGTTCCTGCATGTATTTCCTCTGGTTACTCTGGTTTCCTCCCATACTCTCACACTCCTGTCTAAATTGGCCCTAGTATGTGCATGTATGATTGTGAGTTAGGGACCTTAGATTCATTGCTTCTTGAAGGCAGGGACTAATGTGAATGTACAGTATATATATACCTGGAGTAAATAATAAATAAATCCTCTGAGATCCACAAAGAGAGCAAAACTTTGGAGTAATAATCCCTAGTCTCCTGCAGCCTTCAGTGGTTCCTATTAGCAGCCTCCTTGTCAATACAGGATACAATAGTTTTGAGAAGGTGTGTAGGACTAATCACTGAGTGCTGTGAAAGACCTAGGAGATTGACACTCCCATAAGTGTGACTTAGAAATGTAGGAGAATGGTACTACCTGGAAATTTAGAGTTTTACCTAAGCTGGTATTTGGGTGAAGTTGAATGCTTGACAGGTGCCTGAAATTCATACCCGTCAGCTGTTTGTGTGTTTTTTTTAAGATTGACAGAATCAAAAATAGAAATAATTTAATAGTCTAATTAGATATAGAATAACAAAACCAGCTTTTACTGTGATATTCACCTTTACAGCCAGTTCACACCGTCATGTACACTGTTTTGTGCATTACCTTGTGTTCTGTTGTTGACAGCTCATTCATTTCAGTTGGCTGCCAAACGATTAGGAACACATAAAAAGCAGGGCAGGTGTAACTTTTAAAGATCGCGCCACACCAAACTGCATGGCACTGTAGTATGCTTCTTGTTAGCACTTGCTTCTTGTTAGCACTTGAATTGATTGGCTCATTGTATTGCTTCTTCATCTAACACTCCAACCCTGCTGTACAAGGACTGCAAGGGGCTGGTAACAGGTAAAAAAACGTGCACTGCTTGCATTTAAAAATTACACTTAAGAATGTATTAAAATGATTACAGAACTACATTAATTTGTGCTTAGAGTTCAGCTTTAACTCAAATGTCCTCTGGGTTTGGCTATATATATGTATGTAAAAATTCTCATTGTTCTCATGCATGAAGCTGTTTTGATTGTATTTTTTTCCTTCATTTTTCTATTTTGGGTTTCAGGGGATGCGGTCGAGTGACATGAAGGCCTGGCGCCAACACTGGGATCATCAGCTTTACAAGGCTCTTGAGCATCAGTATCAAATGGGCCTGGAGGCACTTAATGAAAATCTCCCAGAAATTACCATTGATCTGACCTTTAAGTAAGAATAGTTTTGTGTCCTGAAATAGATGCAGAATAGCACAAACATCAGCTTATGTACTGATGGCTGATCTATTGCAGGCAAGGAAGATTACAGTTTAAACCTCCCTACGAAGAAATCCGTGCCAAATATTACCGAGATATGAAAAGGTTCATTTCTATTCCGAACCAGTTCCGGGGCCTGAGTGAGCCCGGCGACGAGCCAATTTTTACTGCGATACCTGACAGGAATGCTAATGGCCTCATCACCGTGTTCAGTAAAGCAGAGGATTTGTTCCGAAGGTTATCTGCTGTCATGGATCGATTTAAGGTGCGCTCTGCATTTCAATAGGGCTTTGTCTGGTATTTAAGGCTGAGCTGTACTCTACTGCAGTGTTTTTGTTGAGAGCAAATGGTAATAGTTGCTGTTCCTTTGTAGCAGAGGCCCCTAACCTTTCTTTACTTGTGAGACAGAAAATAATATCAAGTAAGGGACAGCCACAGAGACTGCTTTCAGTGAAGCTGTCCTTTAAAAGATCACCCCATAGCCCTCAGTGTAAGGTCTCTAACTAAATATTTACCTTAAGCCCCACTCCAGAGAGCTTCACTGCATTACCCTGCCTGGCACCTTTACATAAATAGGCCCTGGCCACGTTCTGCTCTTACTGCCCTGCATGTGCCTGCCCCTCGCTCTGTTCACTCTGCATTCATAGAGGCAACAGCCATCTACAGGAGTACAGCCACAGCTGTAAGAATGAATGGGGTAAGCACCAAACATAGATACTAGGTGCAGGGCATATTCAGCACTTTGTGCAAACTCTGTCACGCAGGCCACCCAAGTAAGATCTCCTGTGCAAGGCTAAAGGTAAGGATTTAGGTATGTGACTTATACTCTGGGAGATGGGGGGACCTTTAAAAAACAACTTGTATAGTAATGAAGTAGATCTTTACAATTTGTGATTTTTACAGCTATTTTGCTTTCAAAGAATAGGTCAGTAAACCGCAAATGCTATCCAGAATATGGTGCTGCTGGGGAAAAAAGCCCACACGTTCATTTGAGCTTAACTTAATCTACTGCCATGAAATAGTTTTTTACATTGACCACCGCATTGTGTGTGTAGATATAATTACAGTGGATTCAGAGAAGCAACTGCTCAAACCAGTGAACACATCAACCCAATTTTTCTCAAATTCAGGACCATTTGAGGGGTACCAGCAATTTTGCGAGGCAGCTGGGTGTACAAGATGAATTCTAGGATGGCAATTGGAGCCATTCAGCAGGTGCGCCAGGCCAAGTCAGTTTAAATGGAAAAATGTTAATTCTTTTTTGTCTATTAAGGGACACAGGAAGTCTTTAACCTTCAGGTTATACTGCAGCCTACAAGAGTACTGGACAATGCAAGCAAAAAAAGAAACTGTAGGCTAGCCCAGGATAACTCCTCCTACCAGTATGCCTCAGGAGTTTGCTAGCATCCTGGAAGGTTGGATGTCTTCATCTCTGCTGTGTTAAAGACTAACCTAGCACTTTTTTTCAATTGAGAATCTTCTCTCTATCACTCTTGGAGCTTTGGCTATTTGATTGCAGCTATCTGGCCTCTCTGAACCCCTCTGGAATAGACGTTGTTGGGATAGGTTGTAAGTGACCTTTGGGCACTGGGTTCTGCGTGGGGTGCTTTTCACAATCTAGTCTGGTAAAAGTTAGCCGTGAAGCGCTTATCAGGTCCAGAGCAACAAACATTGCATACGTGCTTGCCCTGTCTGTAAAAACTCACTTAAGGATTGGGCCAGTGGGGCTGAGCACTGGGAGCTACGGTACTTCATTTGCATAGGTCATCAGGTTCCTTAATTCTCCTTTTTGTGTGTTTTTTTTTTTTTTTTTTTATTTGCAGAGGGCTCACTTTCTACTAATGCATCCAAGGCAGCTTGCTGCATGCCTGCTGATGGTGCTAATGTCTATAGCCTGAAGTCATGTTGCCCCCTGCTGTTAAGCTGGCCATACATTAATCGAAATTCTGCCAGTTCAGTAAGAACAAGCCGTATTTCGATTAGTGTGTGGCTGCCCTTGCTTGACAGAAGTCAATCATTTGGCCGACCACTCTGAAACTAAATATCAGCCTTTTGCTTCTACCAGTGCTGTTTCCAGTCTTGTGTCCTTTAAAATTTATAAGGACACAAAGACTTTCCATTTGCAACTGCTTTTGCAACTATTTTTCTGTGGAGATTGAATGCATCCCGATATGTTATTTGCTCCCTAAGAGCTTATTAGCCTTGTGTCCATTTTCGTGAGGCTTTCGTTCAGATGTGGTCTGTTCCCATTGCAGATCTAGACGTATCCTGTATTAATAAGACGCTCGCCATGCTGGTGGAGGACACACCTTTTTTCAAGGATTCACATGGTTGGAAACTCTCTCCAGCACCACTTTGTCTCTGGCAGTTCCTGCCCTTTCTCAATTCTGGCTGTGACTTGTTTATCAAACCACTGCTGCAACTGGTATCTTCCCTATTGAGTGCTTAGAGCAGATGGCTGTAACGTAAACTTCAATTGAGACTGTTTGCTGGGAGCCTCATTTCCCACGTGTCTCATGCAATACATATAGGGTACTTTGGAGAAAGTGCTGGACTGAGGAAAATCCTCATACCTTTCTGTGCACTTTGGGTATTTACCAAGGCGATGGCCCCAGTTTTACCCTGTTGTGTTCTCGTAGCATCCTCGTTGTGAGATACTTAGACTCATTTCCAGGAAACTGTTAATGTGGGCTTTGTAAGACAGCTTGTCACTAACTCTCCGGATGCTACAACAGTTCAGGTGGATCCTGAAACTTCAGAAATCAATGCTGGAACTGACTCATCGTTTGGAGTATCTGGGTCTAGTCCTGGACACCGCTCAGGCTCCGAGTGTTCCTTCCACAGGAAAAACTCTACGGTCTCATTTTCAAACTCTTCAGTCCAGAGGTTATCCAACTCAATTTGAAATTTGCCCAATTTCAGTCCAGACCTCTGCAACGCAACATTCTGTGGTCGTGGGACAAGTTGATCCAGTCTCTGGGCAGACTGATTTTTTGATTCTGAGAATAAGGTTGTCCCTATCATGGTGGCTTACAAATCCAGCTTTGTAGTCGGAAGTCCTAACTTCCCAACTTTTGGAGTATCCTCATATTGGATACTAGCTTGTTGGGCTGAGGAGCAGGCCTGGGCACCCTTTTGGTGCCAGGAACTTGATCATTGTTGGAGTCTCATCCCCCGATCAGCATCCTGAAACTTTGGGAGATTTATCTGTCTCTGCGGTGTTGAACCATCCTATGGTCACATGATTTGGATTCAGCTGGACAACAATCATCACGGAGGAACCATAACTCTCGCTGCAACAAGTCAAGTAGATTAGATCCTGTTCTGGGCAGAGCTTTATGTTGCAGCCTTTTCTGTCACATTAATTTCAGGCGTAGACTAATGCCAGGCAAATTTCCTCAACCAGCAGGAGGTGTGTACCTCCTGGTCTCTAGGATCAGCAACAAATTGCAGTTGTGTCTCCAGGTACAGGGATCCTCTAGCAGATTCTGGTGACTCCATGGGATTAGTACACCCTGATTTGTGCCTTTCCACCCCAGGATCCAGGATCAAAATTCAGATTCCAATGATTCTTATTGCTCTGAACTCTCTAAGGTGAGTGTAGTTTTCCAACCTAGTAATACTCCTGGTAGATGTCCTGTGAGCACTGCTGGAGTGCCAGGATCTTCTGTCCCAAGGTCTGATTTTCTATCTTGCTTTACAGTCACTGGCTCTAATGGCATGGCTGTTGAAACCTGATTTCTGAGACATGGGGGTATTCCTGGCTCTTTGATTCTTACGATTTCAAAAGCTAGGAAGTCTATATCCCACAAGCTCCATCTTCAGACATGGAGTACACTTCACTTGGCGTGAGTCTTGGGACTTCCACCCCAGGAGTTTCTCCATAGGACTAATCCTCTTTTTCCTTAGCCAGCTCAGTACTATTATGAGTCTGGTTTTTCTCCTTTATATTCTGTTTCAGACTCATTGTTGGCTTTCCACTGTTTGATAAGACTTTTGTATAGAGGGTCTGCCATCTAGCTCCACCTGTCTGTTTCCCTGTGACTCCATGAGATATAGCCATCACCTCTGTGAGTTAAGAGTCTGAAATGGTGGCCTTATTCTGCAAGGATCCTTATCTTTATTTTTACACAGGAACAAGATAGTGTTGAGGCACCTTCCTTCCTGTCTAATTGCTGGCCATAGATGAGTCAGATGAGGTCAAAACTGACCGATTCCAGGAACCACACATTCGAGGAGGCTGGTCTTTTTATTCTGGCAACGGGAAGAATTCCCCACCATCAGAATACATTGATCAGTGCTGCAGACTACATAGCCTGCAGTGCGGATCAAACATTTTTTTTCCCCAAACAGGGCAGTTGAACCAGTTGATCCAATTGGTGGATCGACTTCTGTTCACCCACAGTGGCCATACATGGATTGAAATTAAGCCGGTCCATGCTGAACCAGCCAAATTTCAATTTATGTATGGCCAGCTTCACCTTTTGGAAACATGTCACATGTTCCACTCATTTTTGAGGTGGAACATGTAAAGCGTTCCCACTGCTGCAGCCGCCGCCCACTGTCCTCTCTCACTGTGACCGCTCACACGGCCACGTCATTCATTCATAGAGATCTGTTAATTAATTAACTACAAGTCCCTGTTGAGCGCTGTGGTAGTACATTGATTCTTCCTGTCACAATATATCTGCTTGCCCGTACAAGGTATGTACAAGCACACAGATTCACTCACTGCTGATTGCTGGTGCAATGCTTTCCAGGCTCCCAAAAACAAAAAAAGTAGTAAATGCACATTTTTTTTATCTGAAAAAAATTGGTATTTATTTTCAAAGTGAACTTATCCTTTAAGGAAGACTGTTCTCATTCAGCCATCTCTAAGTTGCTCAGGCAGACCACTATCCAAGTTTTTTGCAAGGATTGGGATCCACCCTTTCCTGTCAACACAAACTCCACTAGATATGAGTGCTTCTTGTGCTTTTCGGCATCTTTCTAGATTTTCGAGGTTGCCACCTGGTTTTCTATTCACATGTTCTCTAAATTCAACCAGGTGAATGTTTCATTCCCATCTGATGCAAGCTTTGAATG